AATATTAAAGGCACTACATATATTCGACCTGTGGCGAAACTCATCACACTTCCTGAAATGCCAGAGGACTGAGAAGCCTACCCCACATTCTAGCAGGGAAATTTGTGCTATTACAAATTCATCTAGTGAATTTGGCGGCGGCTGTGCAAACTTCCCTGCTTTGGGACACCCCCCAGGCAGTCCAGAGACAGTTACCGGACGCACCCCTCACACTGTAACGTCATTAGACTTTCAGCGAGTAAACGGGTCGTTGTGTGTTCCGCGTTGTGCGTTTATGAAACCGTAAATGTTGTTATTGTGGCATAAGCACCTTCTGAACACAGCAGCCTGCCTTTATTTAGAGCTTAATATAGCCCTTCTTCTCCTATGAAGTTCAAACCCAAGTCTCCTTCACATTTTCAGGGGAAAAGAAACTCAGACTTTTCCATGGCACAGTCCACCATCAGTGATACTGTAACTTTACAACCAGCAATAAAACAAGATTGCTGGAAAGGGGAGGGGAACTGCGGAAATGGACTCTCAACACCAGAGATTCAGGTGATTATTTCAGTGTCCTTTCTTCATGTTTTGGCTAAAGACAAACAAGCAGATATGGACACGGTTGGTTTGATCCGGACCGGTCCCCTCCTAATTTTTTCCATTTTTGTGTGTGTCATTACTGGAAGTCCTTTAGGTGAGTGAAGCAGTAATGGATGGATATCTTGTATTTTAGAAACAGATTGGATTTAAAAACGTTAGGATTACTTTTCTATCTGTGGTGAAGGTGCTGGATTTGAATCATGTTAAATGCTGATTGTGTCAGTACTAAGGTATCTTTGTGTTTCAAATCTGTAATTGTAATCCGCCCAAAATCAAACAGACATACATACAGTGAGTGTGGGGCAGGGCCTGAAGTTCATAGGTTCATTGGGAAATCTTTATCATGAACACTAATCTGACAGATCTCAGGCAGAAGGTTTGAATAATGTATAATTTAAAATGTTACGCATGGGAAACGCTCCAACTAGATTAAAAACATATAATCAGTAGGTGGGGCTGTTTTACAAATCTTATCAAGATACAAAGAAAATGAACTGAAATGTGTTTTTAATAGTTGACGCTTCTTATTTTTTGTGTTGAAATCTTTTGTCATTTTGACCATCATGCTATTTTTTTTACATCGAATAGAGTTATTATTAGACCCTCCAGAAAAACGCGGGCCAAAATCTTTAATTATGCGGGCTAAAATCCTTGATTATGCGATAAAAATGCGGGGGTTTTATGTGATTTTATGTGGGAAAATTGCGGGAAGTTGCGTAATATGCGGAAAGTTGCGAAATATGCGGAAAGTTGCGAAATATGCGAACAGTTGTGAAATATGCGGGAAGCGGAAAAAAGGTGATTATTCTCCCGCACCCTGTTACTAGGCTACTACTGAATGAAAGGGAGCACTTTTAAAGAGTTGCTATGATAAACAAGCATACTAGAAGCAAGCTACATCACAGAAACACACACACACACACACACACACACACCTACGGAGGTAGGTGTGTGTGTGTGTGTGTGTGTGTGTGTTTCTGTGATGTAGCTTGCTTCTAGTATGCTTGTTTATCATAGCAACTCTTTAAAAGTGCTCCCTTTCANATCCGAAAAAACAGAATTTTGCTTTGCTAGGTTGTGACAGTGTACTACAACATATTTGATCTAATTCATTTTTAGTCTAATTTATTTTTATTTATCTTATTTATATATGTTTAGTAGCTTGTTGAAGTGCGCTCCAAAATATTTGTTAATCTTGTTTATTGGTATTTATTATTTTGATATTATTTATTTAAATGTATAATTTATTTTTGTATTAGTTTTTCAGTTGAATTATATGTTCAGGGTAATCAACAGTTACAAAGATACTGTTCAAATTATTATTTGTTTTAAAGTTCAATAAATGGATGTTTTCAAAGTCAATGAATAATCGTATTGTGTGTGTGTGTGTGTGTGTGTAACAAGAGCTATATTCAGAGCTCTGCTGCCTTTGCTACACTATGTGTGTGTGTGTGTGTGGAGAGGAGAGTTAACCCTCCAGGGCTCCGTACTATTTCATCGTTGCTGTTGTATGTTTGGTGTTTAGCGTCAACAGCACCTCCGCTTTTAGGGTTGACGTAGACCCAAACGTCGCCCGGAGGTCCCCCGGTGTTGTTGCGGGAGCTGCTGCACTAGCTAATGCTACATTAGCAAAACAAACGCTAATTTCTTTTGCAAAAGGTGCAGCGGGCTTCAAACACGTTCCCCTCCACTGGTTTCAACCAAGCACTAAATTCAATTTTTTCCAACCAAATACGGTTGAACTTACACTTCCCCATATTTATTTGTAAGTAGATTCGAAGATACCTGAGTTTCTGACTGCCGCTAACTGAAGCTTGGTTGCTAAGTTACTAGCTGGGTGTTCTCCGATAAGGGGCCGGGGGAAACAAAGTTAGTGATTACTAGTTCCATGTTGATTTATTTCAATACAAATTGTTGGGGGGAACTGAAAGGCTCTTATCGTACTGGTTACTTTGCAGCCCGGACATTTCCCCCAAAACACATTTAGACGCGATCCCAAAACAGAAGTATCTTTCAAATCGGATAGACCCGCCGCACCGTTTGCAAAAATTAAATCACGTTTGTTTTGGCTAATGTAGCGTTAGCTAGTGGAGCGTTAGCAGTGCAGCGAGCCTCCCGCAAAACAGACCGGGGGGGACCTTTTTCCGGCGACGTTTGGGGTCTCCGTCAACCCCTAAACAGCGAGGGCTGCTACGCGCCCAATACCGAGTAAACCCAATCATACAACGCAACGATTGAAATGTGTTAGCCCGCAGGCACCGCGGAGGCTGCTGAATATAGCTCTGTTACTCTCTCTCAGCAACACCACACACACACACACAACAACACACACACACACACCACACACACATACACCACTCACACACCACCATATAGGTGCTCCAATTTATGGCAAAAATTCATAAGTCCACGGCATTATTTTTTGGGTCAAATTGATTTCACGATTATAAATACGATTTCATTGACTTAAAACCTCCATTTATTGAGCTTTAAAAACAAAATAAAGTTGAACAGTATCTTTAATGGTTGATTACCCTGGAACGATAATTCAAAGCTGAAAAACCAATTCCAAAAATTAATTAAATAAATGATATATTTAAATAAATTCAATATCAAAATAATTAAATACCAAATAAAACAAGGATAACAAGATATTTTGTGAGCGCACTTCCCTCCACAAGCTACTAAACATATATAAATATGATAAATAAAAATAAATTAGATTAAATATGTTGTAGTGCACTGTCACAACCTAGCAAAGCTAAATAATATTTTTTTTCGATTATGTTGTTTTTGTAATTGTGGCAGGCCAAAATCGTAATTGCGATTAAAATACGATTAATTGAACAGCCCTAACACACACACAAGCACACAGAGACACACGCATACACACTTGTTGGCTAACGCAGTTCTGTACTGTTATGCTGTTATGTTCAGTTATTGTTCTTATGTTGAACATGAATACATTTACTTTGTAAGTAATTATGGGACGTATTTCTTCTTTCATAGCAATTTTCCTTCATACTTTCTTGCCGTGAAATAGGTCTTAAATTCTATTCAAAGTTGTCTTAAAAAGGTCTTAAAAAGTCTTAAATTTGAGTTGGCGAAACCTGCAGGAACCCTGTTGTAGGTTAAAAATGTGACACAGATATATTGGCTATTCTGTCCGACTGAAAGTGTAAAACTCTCATGTGCTCAATATGAAATTAGATGAAAATATCAAATCTCATGTTTGAGAAGCAAATTATCAATTGTTGGGCTTTTTGCTTAAACAAAATATGATTTCCACTTTTAGCAATTTATTTGTAATGTTTTAGTAATTCACTATTTCAACATGTTTCCGTTGGAAGTAAGAGCACATACATGCACACTGTTACATTCATATTTGGGACATTTGACTGAGCTTTAACTTAGCATTAACATGTGGGAAACAGCTTGAGCCTGGCTCTCTGCAAAGGGAATAAAATCTGCCTAGCAGCACCTCTAAAGATCATAAATTCCACATGTTATATATTGTCTATTTAATTTATACAAAGTGTAGAAGTGATTGTTTCACCTACAGTAACACAGCAGGCTATTTGTTGGACTATTTCTTAATTGTAAGCAGTAACTTCCTGTACTCTCTATTGGTTGAACGCCAATTGGTCCCGGCCAAGAAAAATTCCAAATAGTACACACACTTCAGTTTTTGTACAAATTAAACAAATCAAAAATACCTAAAATAACCTGCCAGCTTTGGAGGTGCTGGTAGACGGATTTTGTTATCTTGCAAAGAAGGAAGTGTTGAAATATTACTTAGAAAAAATCACTTCTTGAAAATCAGTGCTGGAAAAATGATAATATATTCCTAATGCCATAAAGCATGGATTTGCAATCAGACAGGTGAAATTGGTTTAAGCACTCACACATGGGTCATGCATGTTGCATGTGTGTGTCAGTTTGTATGTGTGCGGGGAAAGAGTGGCGGAATAAAAGACAGGGCCTGTGGCAGAAGCTGATGTGAGCCCTGTGTCTGTAATCAGAAATGACATGTGCGGCTAACCTGGTTTTGGATGCTGGGATTGGGTCTCCCTTGGGGGGCTGGATTCGGAGAGGTAGGGTGAAGAGGAGGCGGGGCAGGGGGATTAATTTGTGGACGCTTGGCTTGGGTGGGTGTTGGTGGAAGGAGGGGTGTTTGGTGCAGTGTTGGATGGGCTAAAAAAGGTGGGTTTTTGCTTCTAAAGGGAGGGTGGTTACCCTAAACCATCTGCTGTTTTTCTTAAGATGTGAATGCATACAGTGTGTATGTGCGTGTTTGTGTCTTTGTGTGATGCTAACAGCTCTTTGTGTTGTACCCCTCAGTGCGGTCAGAGCATGGTATCCGCTATGTGAAGCTGCCCTCGGCCTCCAGTACGTCGTCTGTGCTGCGGTTCTTGGAGAACATGTGCCAACATCTGGAGAGTGACAGTTTGTTCAGCTCCCAGCCGTTCAGCTCCTTCGGCAACAACACACGCTTCTACAACAGGACCAAGTCAGGTGGGCAGAAGTGTGGACAGACAGAGTAACTGTAAACAGGGGCTGGTGCAGTAACAGTGAACGTTTGAGTCAGCTGTAGGCTCACTTACTTACTGTGAGCCATAATATCTTGAAACAAATTTTATATATATATATATATATATGATATTTTCTAGAACAAAATTATTTTTAGTGACTGATTATACAATTATGATTTCTTTTCAACCTTTGAATTTTTACGGCAGAACTGGTTCCACCTAATTTACACTAGTTGTTTTTGCACATTGCAAATTGATGTTCTTTCAACAGTCTATCTGAAAAGTGGAAAGGTTAAACATCATTTGTATAATCACTAAATAAAGCTAAAGTTAATTGTCTTTCAATGACAGAATTTGGTAGATAATAAGACCATGTTCCCAGGGGGTGAATGGTTGATTTCTGTTAAGATCTAGATCCATTTATGCATTTTGAAATTATATATTTTGTAGCAATTTCCTTTGTTTTAAGGGAGGATTTTTCAATATGAAAAATTAATGAACTGGTGTGTTTTGATCTTAAGGTTTAGAGCACTGTGTGATCTTATCAGAGGCATGTTCTCCAAGCTCTTCCTTCATAAGTTGGTCACGTTATGGCTGCGTTGTTCATGGTACAGTTCTTTGCAGCATCTTTTTGTTTGTACACAACATTAACAGTTTCTCTCTTTCCTTTTCTTGCACCAGAACCACTATCCCACCCTGAAAATGGCCTGTCTAAAGAAGATTCAACAAAGGATGCTGCTCCCAGCACCCACCCCTCTCACACAACATCGGACTACAGAGTAACAAAGAAGGAGCGGCCATATTACCCCGGACACTCGCACACGCCGCCACCCCTCAGACGCGTCAGTTCAAACCCCACTGAGCTTGGCCAGATGTGTCCACCCAGACGAGTTGAGGGTAGGGTTACTAAATGTAATAATGACATTTAAATACAATTATTTATTTATATTATGATCACATTTCTTTAAATGATGCCCTTAAAAATTATTTACATTCAAGAAGAGGACGGTGGTTGCTCGGTTGTTGAGGTTTAGGCACAACAATAATTTCCTATAAACCTTTTTAATTGAACGCATTTAAATTACAATCATAAGGAGAAGGTATAATTGATTTGGTTTTTTTGCACACATTCTCCAGCTGCTAGCTCGACGACAGGCCCAGACCACGTGAAGCAGGACAAGGAGGGTTCAGGGAGCGACACCTCTTCCTGGTCAGTTGACGATGTCATGCGGTTTGTCCAAGAGGCTGACCCCCAAACCCTCGGCCCGCATGTTGAACTGTTCAGAAAACATGTGAGTATGTCATGGATATGAGCAGTCTTCTTTGTCAAATTGGTGTTTCACCATTTAACTTAAAGGTCACCTATTATGCAAAATCCACTTTTTCATGTGTCTCCTATGTGTAAAGACATTTGGGAAGTTTAAAAAAAAAAATAGATTCTCTCTCTTTTTGTCCTGATCCATCTTTATAAAAACCGGTCTGAAAATGAACTGATCAGATGTTGGCCACATTGTGATGTCACTATGTTTTTTTGGGTATTGCAACTAGGCATGGGCGGTATCATTTTTTTCATACCGTCATACCTTGCTGACATCATACCGTGGTATACGGTATATGACGGTATCAGTCCCAATTTAAGGGGTCATTTCTCCCAAAAACATTTTTTACTCACTATATCAACAGCCCCACCAAAAATATTTCCCACCAGCCGCCACTGACATTATGACTTGGGTCGACTTGAGTGAGGTGGCGTTCGGCGGCAAATAGATGTTTCAAACGGTATATTATATGTTCGGTGTAAAATGCAGCCCGAGTCGCAAAAGTGCCGCGACGTGCGCGCAAGTGCAAAAACAAGGGCTGCATACATGACACATTGTGCAAATGGCACATTTTGAGATCGGATACAGGACGCGTTTGTAGATGTCCGACGTTGTTTCCATAGTGAGCTAAGTTAACAATATATCATCATACATAAACATTTTCCGGGAGTAAATACTTGACTTATTGAATAAAGTTTGCTATATTCACTAACTAGTTTGGCAATATTATTCCGTGCATGTGTTAAAAACCTTATTTCCATTTGATTCATTGGATTACTCGCGTGAATGTTTAGCACGTAAATGCTTTCGTTTTTAAAACCGTCCGACCTCGACTACAAAACCATCAACCAGTTGCATAGGATTAAAAAATGTCAACACTCACTCACCCCGTCTTAAACATTCCCAAAGAAGTGCCTCTGTCTTCTCGTTGTGCTGGATGGAAGTCACTGGCGACGGAGTAAACCCAAAATAGTCCCAAACAGGCGCAGAGGCATTTTTCTTTTTTTACTAGTTGTCCGAGTTCGGGGGCCGGCAAATGCTGCCGCCATCTTGCTCAGCTCAGCTCTGTGCTGAGCTCTGAGAGCGGGAAAGACGGACTGCCCTCCCCTGCCCTCTGCTGGGCGCGTGCTGTGCATTACAACCAATGTCGTCCCTGTCAAAACTCCGTGGTCAGTGTAATAGGAATGAAACGCATCTGTGATTTGGCGCACAGTCTGTGACGTCACGGTATTGAAAATCATACGACGGTATTTCGAAATACCCTGGTATACCGGTAATACGTCATACCGCCCAGCCTAATTGCAACCCACCAAGGTAACACCCGACCATTTTATCAGCTGAATTCGTCCCTAGAGCACCATTGTTTTGTTTTAAACCCAAGCCAAGCTGCCAGCAGCAGCTCATTTTACATTTCAAGCTACAGCAAACAGAATCACCCACTTTTTGAACACAGGGCTGAATCAGAGTGGTTTATGGGATGCTACAATGCACAATCTGTTTGGTAATTCGAGCCAAACACTCAGAAGACCATGTTTTGGTTTGTATTTTTAGACCTATACTACTATACTGTCTGAAAAAGAGTATATAACTAGGGGACTTTTTAAAATGATTTCTGAAAAGTATGTGTTGGGTAACGTGGTCCCCCTGAATGATCCCCTCTCTGCAGGAGATCGACGGCGAGCTCTGAATGCTTGCCCTGCGGAGTGATGTCATTATGAAGTACATGGGACTGAAAGCTGGGCCCGGCGGCTCAAAACTCTGTCATCACATTTGAGAAAGCTGAAACAGAGCAAACTAATAGAGGATGAAGGAAAGCTTTTTGGCTACTGGCAACCAAACCCACACAAAAACACTTATTGCTCTACACGGGATGTAGTTTAAACCCAGCCTGACCCCAGGGTCGTAGCTACCATTGAGGACATTGAGGCAACAGTCCACTGTTTTTTTTCTGTTGTAGTGTGGAGAATTGAAGGGAGTTTGGGAAAATACAAATTTACAAATTATGGCCATTTATCTGAAACCTGATTTGATAATTTTTTCACTTTTACAAAATGTGACAACTTTTGGCCAAATAATTTCCGTAATCTTAAAAGGTCCCTATGTCATGCTTTTTCCGGTTTATTACCCGTCTCCCCTTGTGTGTTATGAAGGTTTTTATGCATGTAAACCCAGTCTGGCAGAGTCAAAAACCCCTCAAAGTACACCCTGTAGCTTGAGTAAAACTCTAACC